ACGACTCGTTCTCGTCGTTTCTACCGCTTATTCGAGCCACAAATCAAAAGATCGTTCTATCGTGCCTCACCCTTGACGACCAAGTTAAAACTATCTTGATGCTCGACAAACTTCCTCAAGACTTTCACTCGTTCAAGACAAACATATCGATGAATTTTGAAACCTTGCCGTTCGACGACGTACTCAAGAAACTCGAGGACTTTGCTACTCAAAACCAACTGAACGACACCAAGAAGTCTGTGATCGCATCCGAAGCTACGATGTTCACCAAAACTACCGACCCCGATATTATCTGTCCTCATTGCAAGCGAGGCTTCCGATCCTGCTCTCATTGTTTCAAAAGTGGCCATACGGAAAGCAACTGTTTCCAGAAGCACCCCGACAAACGACAGTCCAAACCGGCCCCCTCCTCCTCAAAACAACATTCATCTCATCTCACTCGATACACTCCCGAAGATGAAGAATACTTACAGCAAAAATATCCAGACCTCCATCTCTAACTGTTCGATCTCTTGCTCAGGAGGGGTGTTGAATTTTTCGCTCATCGATCTCACTCTCTCTTCCATTTTTCCTCTCTGTCACCTGTCACTCATTTGTCACCGATTTTTTTTTATTCAATATGCATAAAATTCCGTCCCACAACTTGTGCTCTCTTGTATCTAGACTACTTAACTCCCTACTCTAGATATTGAGAAATAAAAAAATCATCGGTTCTTTATTCTTTTTAGATCGGTCCTGAAGGAGCACATTAGCCCTTCTTCAGTCTTTGTTGCGAGCACATTAGCCCTCTCTTCTAGATTTTAAAAAGTATTTTTATTCGGCCTTTTTCGCCAAAAATTCTTCACAAACCGATCTCATCACCAGGACTTACGGCTGCGACAGTGAGTCAATGCGGATCAAGGACCCGGACAACCCATCCCACTTGATGCGCATGAAGCGCAATGGACTTCTTGTGTGGAGCCGTGCTTTGGCTCATGAGACGTCTGGGGTTACTACTGAGATCCCCCCAGTTACAAAGGAGTTTGTTTCCGAGGCAATCACGGTATATACCCTGGCCAAACAGATGGCAACGGATGCTTGGTGTTGTGGGAAGGGAAAACCAAGGAGACCTGTGGCATTGGTGCATTAATAATTGCACATCTCCCCCCTCCCCGCACGCCCACTCCCCCACCCCTCGGACACGTGTTTTTTCAACAAAACACGCTTCCGAGGGGCGGGCAGAAGAACCCGCCCCTCCAGGAGGGGCGTGTGGGTTTGCACGCCAGCCAAGAGCCAAGTCTGGGCTGGCGGGTTGATTAAGCGAGGGGCGGGCACTTTGACCCGCCCCTGGACAAGCTCGGAACCTTACCGATATTGTATCGGTAAGGTTCTTGGCTTTGCTTACGTGAGCAAAACATCCAGGGATGTTTTGCTCACGTAAGCAAGGCTTCCTCTACTCCTTGGGAGGAGAGAGAACTTTATCAATATCAAGTATTGATTAAGTTCTCTCTCCTCCCAAGGAGAAACCCTAGTAGTGGGTCATTGGATTTTCAATTTTCCTCTCTACAGTCAATTGGAAACAATCATAAAATTTGGCTTCCCATCCCCAAGCCTCTTCTGAAGCCTTTTCTTTCCAATCCTCCATGAGCTGAGGGGCAGCAAAGAGTCTTGGGTTATGTAACTGCAAGGGGAAAAAATGAGAAAAATTGGATAGAAAAGCAATAAAAATTGGGGTTTTGTCATTGAACTTGAAGGTCGATTTGGGTGAGTGGATATGGGTCAGTTGTGGGTATGTGGGTTAGGGTTGGCAACTCCTGCATGGGAGAAGAAAAAATATTTCTTCTCCCAAGCCAACTCCTAGGGATTGGTCTGATGACTCCCGCAGGACAAAAAAACAGCCAAGTCGTCACTTTGGGAAATTGGGCCATCAACTCCTGTTTTGTCAGGTGAGGATAGCCTGACAACTCCCAATGGAAAAAAAGATGAGAATTGGAAGCAACGAATCCCAAATATCAGGCAGACGACTCCCCCCCCCAAAAAAAAAAGGTATTTCAAAATGGGCGGACGACTCCCATTAAAAAAAATTCATATTGGTCCAACGACTCCCCGGACCAAGCCCTGGGTCCAGAGTTGGTCCAGGGATGGTCCGCAGATGGTCCTCTAGACGTCAATGGCCAAATGGGAGTCGTCGCCTAAAATTTAGGAGTCGTTTTTCCAAGCCCCCCCTTTTTTTTCCTGTCACTTGCCCCCAAAATACGCCAAAAAGGGCCTCTTTTTGGGGGCTATCCAGCCATGAGGGTATGAAGCTGACCCTTTTTTTCAATCCAGAAGACCAACCAACCTCAAATTGCACCAGCTCACAGGAACCCAGTAAAGTATGATCTGAGGGGGAATTGAACCCATAATCTCAAGGTAGTCTGACAGGGGAATGTGTTCTTACAAGGAAGTGTTAAAAATTGGCAGGGGGCTAAAATTTAGTGGCCCCCATTACCAACTGAAAAAAAAAATGATGATCAATTGAGGGGATCTGGATGTAGGCCCCCCAATCAGGCACTGTCTTCAGGGTATACTAATGCTAGTCTTGTGGTCATGTAACTTTTAATCAGTTATGCTAACAGTTAGTGTAACTTTTTCACCAGTTACGCTAACAGTTAGTGTAACTGAGGGTACCACTACACTAACCATTAGTGTAACTTTGCAAAAATTTACACTAACATGTAGTGTAGTGGGCTCACCCACTAACACCACTACAATTTCACTAACAGGATTTTGGTTAGTGTTAGTAGTGCCTTTTTAAAGGTAGCTAACACTATGCTAATTTTTTTTGTTTTTTCAAAAATCCTGTAGTGTTAGTGGGCCAAAAATTCCCGCTAATGGTAACTTTTGTGTAGGGTAGCTTAAAAAGCTAACATTACGCTGCACTAACACTACGGTTAGTGTAACTGGCCCACCGTTGATAGTAGTTATCTTTTTCATTCATTCTTTCTTTTTTGTTTCATTTCTCTTTCTTCTTACGTGAAATGAATTTATCCTTCCACGAACATCAAACACTCACCCCACCTTGTGCTTGCTGCTCTCAGTCCCCGTCTAGCTCATCAATAAAAGGGAAACCAACTGTCAAATGAAATAAAAATAAATCAATCAAGACATTGAGAAATTCACCCCAATTGAAATGAATTCAAATCAAGCAAATATAAAATAGCAAAATGGAATAAAACAGGACAAAATAAAATAAAACAAATCAATAAAATAAAATAAAATAAAATAAAATAAAATATGGAATACAAGAAAATTCAATACAATAATATTGTAGTTTAAATTATAAAAAATAACAACTTAAATTAGAAAACAAAATGTAATTATGAGATACAAGAAGCCAGGGAAAATTATTTTGAAAAACATTTGAAAGAATTTTGAAGTTCAAAGTTGGATATAGATTTGAACTGTTTTTCTTTTTCAAAAGCGCTTCAAAAGTCCTCAACGAGGAGTTTTGAGCAATCAGAAAATTTATCTCCTTGATCATAAAACTTTTGAAAGAGAAAGGTTGAAAACCGTTTGATTGTTACATAGCTACTCCCATGCCCCAGATGGTCAAGACCTACGGCAACTTGAGGCTTCCACAGTCAAGGGTTCACCAAGTCCAAGTGGGTCTTGCTGTAGATTGTCCCATGAGAACCAGTTGAAGTCAGCCAGAGACATACAGAAGAGCTCAACAAACCTGGCCGCAGGTATTTGTTTGTCTTTCCATGGTTCCCAGCAATCTGGAAGCTTGAGCACCTCACGTCCTGCTTGAATATAAACCTATTGCGCTCTTGAGATTGTTGAACAAAGAGAAAGTGCTAGAGAGCTACTCCTTGGAGAAGAGAGTCATTTTTGTTGAGATCTATGCAGCCTCTTGTCAAGGAGTGGACTCTCCGCTTGTGGACTCAATACAAGCAATGCAAATTTTTTTCATTACCACAATTGTACGACTGGGTTTATAACTACTCCCAGCTTTTGAAAATATTTTGAACAGTATTTGAACTACAAAAAGCTTTATTTTAAGTTCAAAAAAAAATTTCAAAAGTGTTTCAAAACATTTTCAAAACATTGTTTATAAGTGGGGCCTTAGCCTTGGAACTGAGCTGTCTACATATTTATTCGGCTGAGCTGATTGACGAGGCTCATCCATTATAAGGGCCTGTACCATGGGATTCAATTTTGAAAATTTATCATTATTTTCTGGCTGGCTTCCACACAAAAATTGAAAACAATTCAACAAGTCTGCTGCTGAAATTCTTCACTTGTAGGCCAAAAACTATCTATTTGCAATGGTCACTTTTGATGAGATGAGAATTTGAGGAAGATAAATTCCAAGAAATTGGATTTTCAAGCCCTACCATCTACAGTACAGGCCCTAACATATTTACGTAGCATACGATGGGGGCTCATCGACAAGCTGGGATGTTTGGCTGTCGCTGAACAACCACTAGAGGTCATCCATGGACCATTGGACCTTGGTCAAGACATGAGGTCATGAAGCTCGGCGTGGCGATTTCGATAGATTGATGACTATAATGTAGCCAACCCCCCTCCCCACAGCCGCGCACAATCGCGGAATGAGAGGGATTGTTAGTTATAACAATTGGCTTCGGTTTGGTGATGATGGTTCGGCTTTTGAAGCTTGCTGATAAGGATGGCCATGAGCCCGAATGGGGTTGTGTGTGTGCGAACCCCCCTCATTGACCCGGGACTGATACATTAGTTGATTAGACCAGTCGATGAAAGAGGTAGCCGAGTATGTAAGGTCGATTCCGGCTTGGCTCGATGTCCACCCCTCCCCCTGATTCCCAAGTTTCTAATTGACTGATGGAGATGAGTAAGGTCGGATTTAAGTGGGTTGGATTGTGTGTTTGTTTTGTAGTCTGTATGGGGTTGCGAGTCTGTTGATAATTAGTTTTGTCTGATCTGCTGTAGCACCCCATGGGCCATACACTACATACACAGCAAGTACAAAACCAAAAAAAAAAAAAAAAGAAAAGAAAACTTTTATCATCGACATCAGTCAGCCAGCCTGCTCCTCCAGCAAACTCACCAAAAACCAAAAACCAACCAACAACCAACCAACAACAACAACTTCAACAACATCGCATCATCATCCTCCCCCCATCAAAAACAAAAAAACAAAATAGTTACTAGTCTCATGTCTCGACCCGAGATCGTCATGCAGACTCCGGCTGCAAAAAAACTAGAGGTCCATTCCCCCCCACTCACACTCCACCAAACCAACCCAACCCGAGCAAACCCGAGCAAACCACTTACTGACTGTCCTCTCATTCAACTCCACAGGCCGAAGTTCAGCGGAAACTTGCTGAATACTCCTACTCTACAGCCGATGATGTCGTCATGGCCGAGTATGTCGTCGTCATGTTGGCTAATGCTAAAACGCCCGATCAAATCACTGCTGGTCTGTTCTCTATCTAACCTCCTGGCCGATCGACTCAAAACTAACTATTTCACTCGATCTATCTAGAACTCTCCGAGTTGATCGGCGAGGATATGTATGATCCTGCCTTCACAACCTGGCTATTCGAAGAAGTCGCCCGGCAGTACGGAATCCCTCAATCAAACTCAAACCCACCCCTCTCACCCACCGAAACACAAGACAACAAATCATTCTCAGCCAACAACAACAACAACAACAACAACAACAACCATGACAATGAAAATGACAATCATCAATCACTCGACGATGCAGGCGATAAGATCCAAACCGTCAACGACTCACGCGATCATCAGCAGATCAACAACTATAACCGTCCCGGGCCAATCAAACGAGCCGTCCATCCCACCAACCCCAATCGACCCATCACTCACACCAACAATAACAATAACAATAACAGTAACAACAATAGTAGTAACAACAGACTCAGCCAACCCGGTGGCCTCTTCAGTCAAGCTGTCACCGGTATCAAACGCTCTGGACCAAACGATCTCATCAGGGACACTCCCCCTCATCGTCGGCTCAGGCAGGATGACTACCCCTCAGGACCCCTCTCAACCGGACCTCGATCATCAGACCGGAACCCAAGGGATCAACATTGGAATGGGATGATCTCTGACCGGCGCGACCTATCCAACGGGTTGGTCTCTCATCCGTCATCCTCATATCCGATCACAGAGAACTAATATCTCTACCCCTACTTCCTCAGTCAGCGTCCCCCTACTAACTTCCCAATCGGCCATCCAATGGGTGCCGAGTCTGCCGCCAAGAGCATCCTCGAGCGTGTAGGCGTCTCAGTCAACCCTCATCACCCCTTCCAGAGCACTGGCTTCCCTCGGGGATACGACCAACACCAACAAGTGGGTAGTCACTCCCGACCTTCTCGACAATGAACCAAGTACTGATGATCTTTCCCATAGCCTTTCCGACGTCCTAACGATCTAGGTCACAACAATGGAACCGCGCCATCACAACAGCAGATGTTCTATGGCTCACCCTCCTCATACCCACTCCCACTCTTACCCCCTCACCCATTCCAACAGCAGCACTTCAACCCACACAACTCACCTAATGGGCCGACCCCTCAGCTCTTCTTGGCCAACGGACAGCCCTACATACCATCCCACCCGTTCCAGATCCCTGGCTCTGGCCCTAACCCGATCTATCCCTACCCCGCCATCCAACATCCTTCGCCTAATAACCAATCCAAGAAAAATAACTCGTCGGCTATCCCTCCTAACTCCCACTCCAAACCTAACAACAACCACCACCACCACCACCATCAACAACAGCAACAACAGCAATCATCGCTCGAGAATCGTGTCGCTCCGATCGCCCAACCGGTCGAACCCGTCCTGGCTCCTCTCCCTTCAGCCCCCTTGCTGCGCGAAGAATGCAAGTATAACCTTGCTTGTAAAAACGCTTGGTGTCCTAGCTCCCATTGTTCCCCTAAAGGTCATCCTAAGAGCTCGATGTTGCTCAGCTTCTATCCCTGCGAGCTTCAGCTCAAATGCACGGACCCGGTGAGTCTTTTAACTCGATTTTCTGACTCGAAACAGATTCGCTCTCTCGACAAGGTTCCTAACCCTTCAAAAATTTTGGGGCAATTTTCATGTGTTCAGGAATGTCTGAAAGCGCATGTGTCACCACAACAAGCGGATCCCAAGGCGTCGATCAAGGTCAATTCGGCCGCATCCAAGCCATCAGGTCCGTCGATGACTCCGGCCGGCCGAGGGGCTCTTCCTGGAGGAGGAACGCCAACCAACGGGAAAGCGATCCCGTGTCGGTTCGGCAGCCAATGCACTCGCTCAGACTGTGTCTTCTCTCACCCCTGGATCGTCAACTCGACCGGCGGCGCTGAACGGCCGTCTAATAATGACGACATCGGAACCCCCGCTGGTCCTAAAAACTCGTTCGGTGCGGCGGGCGTGCCTTGTAAATTCGGCCTTCAATGCTCTCGTCGTACGTCTCTCACCCTTTTTACTCAAAAATAAAAAAAAAAGAAAACCTTACTTAGCTGTTTCTATTTTTTTTTTCCCAGCCGATTGTTTTTATCAACATCCTTCGTCACACCGTGGCCCATCCAAGAACATCTCCAAGTCGTTCATCAACCAACAACAACAACAACAACCGACATCGAAGCTGCCCAGCGACCCATCCTCAGGCCCCTCATCCTCCTCATTATTAGCTGGAGGAGGAATCGGAGGGGGGTTAGCGGGCACTGAGAAGCTGAGTCCGTCCAAGAAGTTCAGCGCGCCCATCGACAAACAGTCGGCTTCCAATAACCCAGCCGTTCCGTCATCGACAACGACGGCCTCGACTGCCCCCCAACTGGCTCCTTCTGACCCCGCTCCCGCTAACTCGCCTCAGACTCAGGCTACTCAAGAGCCGCTCGTCTCCACTCATGATGGTGATCCTAATCCTACTACTTCCTCTACTGCTGCTCCCTCTATTCAACCTGCCCCTTCTACACCCATTCCTGCTTGATCTTTTTGCTTTTTTCTTTTGAGAGAGAGAGAGAGATAAAGAGAGAGAAAGATAGTTTGATTGGATGATTTGTAATCTCTTTTACGTGGGTTCAATCCTCTTTATCTCTTCTTTTCTATCATCCTCTTGTTGGCCCGCTCTCTCCTTCTCTCTCTCCTCTCTCTCTCTTCTGTGGGCCTTGTCTTCTCTCCTCTTCCCCTCCTCCCCCTTTTTGTTGCTTTGGGCTCCTTGGGCTCAGTAATTATAATACAACCCTGGTCGCCGGGTCTTTCTTTTTTTTCTTTTTGTGTCTGTGTGTGCTTGGCTTGGCTCTTTTAATTCAAGTCTTGCCTTTTTCTTGATTCTCTCTTTAATATATATATATATATATATATATATATATATTATACTTGTCTTCCACATTGATTTCATTTCTTTGGCCCTTGGTCATCTCATTCATTTATACACAACCTCCAAAAGATCCAAATGATTCACTCAACCAAGCAGTTGGTTTTTTATTCACTTTTTTTTGGTTGGTGTGATCATGATGGTGGTTAGTTGGTTAGTTAGTTTTTTTTTTTTTTTTTGGGGGGGGGGGGTTGTTTCCCTGGACTTAATAAGGGTTTATTAGAAAAAAGCTGAGAGAAAGTAAAGGTAAGGGTCATGTGGTTAATCCAAAGTAGGTAGGTAGCTCTAGAGTTTTTATGGGGGGAGGGGTTCTGCTTGAAGTGATAAGAGCATGATGAGTGGTTTGTGAAGTTGAAGAGAGTTTTTAACTTGTGGTGTGAATTGGTCACAAGGTACACTACCAACCCCCTTTCAGTCTCACTGCATTGGTTTAGTTTGCTGGGTGTGGTGGTATGTAGGACAGGTAGAGCTGGTCCCCCCCCCCTATAACTTATAAGTATCCATTGGCACAGTTTGTATCTGCAAGAAGGTGTCTGCAATGGTGGGCCAGTTACACTAACAGTAGTGTTAGTGTGGCAGAATTCCGCTAAACTTTAGCGTAGCGTAGCAGAATTCTGCCACATCTTGCACTAACACTACGCCCATATGCCCCAAAAAAGGGCCCACTATGCTACCCTAACACGCTGGTTAGTGGTTTTTTGGCCCTGTAGCACTGTTAGCGGCCTGTAGCGCAGCATAGCGTAGCCAAAATCCGCTAACACTACATATTTTTGGCATAAAAAAAGTGCGGCTACGCAACACTTTTTGGGCCAAAAGCGTAGCGGCCCACCGCTGGTGTCTGGTCCAGGTTTGGGTGTCTAGTCTGGCTGGAAACTTCAGTCTAGACAGGTACCCAAATCCACCAGGGACACCTGGATCAACACCCAAACTGAGACAAGACATGTATTTTGTATTTCTCATATCATCTATCTTTATTTTCAGACTGATATCTGGTCTCAGTATTTCCTTGGTTGGTGAGAAAATCCACCATCTCCAATTTGTCTTTTCCAAGCAAAAAGAAGAAAAAAAGACTGATGAATTGATAGACCTAAAACTGAAAAACAGATCCATTTGGCCTATGAATTTGAATCAGTGACCTCATCCTCACTATCTTTCCACACATCCTCTCTCCTCTGACAAGACAATCTGAAAACAGGTTTGGATGGCTTAACCATTATAATCCTGAAGATTTCCCACAGTTTCAAGGAACACAGCACCTACTTCACCCATTGACCTCTTGCACCTTTTGTTATGGAGGAGCCACCAATTGTGCAATGACTAATAATTTTCTGAATCCACTTCACTTGTGGAGATATGGATAATCTTTGTAATGCAATTTTGGAATTCTATGTGAGGCCAAGTACATATTACACCCAATTAGAATGGCACACCTTAAGTGACTTCTAACTATCTGCCTCTTGTGCTGTATTTTAAAATCAAAGCTCAAGTCTTGGTCTTTAAGGCATATGGATTGAATTTTAAGGTCAACAGTGGTCTACCAGGTCCCACAGTCAGCTGCCTTTAGTTGCACACTGCATCAAAGGAGTTATGTGAGAGAATATCAGAGAATAGGGGGGTTCACGATAGCTTTTTTGGCTACTGGCACCCCATAAAAAAATTCTTTCTGGTGCTGATTTTCTGTTAAATTTTATGCTAAATTTCCGAGCAAAATTTTGACCAACATCCATAAACACTTGTTGGTCAATAAATAAATTTAGGGGGTTGGAAAAACGACTCCCTTAAATTTGCCGACCACTCCCATTTTTGTCGAGGGGTCGTTGGACGGGAGTCGTCTTTCCAATTCCCCCTGGGGGATCGGGAGTCGACTTCCCAATTTTTTTATTAAAATTTATTCTTTTGGGTGGGAGTTGGCGCCCAAAACCCTCCTTGGCAAGTGGGAGGTTTGGGAGTCGCCTCCCTCCCACTGGCCGGGGGGATTCCCTCCAGTCATTGAGACTGTACAGTCTCAATGACCGGAAAGAATCCCTTCCAGTCATCAAGACCATACAATCTTGATGGCCGGAAGCACCCCTTCCGGCCATCGAGACCAATCTTTGTGACCGGAA